TCCACACAATCAAAGGCTTTTGCATAGTCAATGAAGAATAAGGTTTAGCATCCTGCCAATTACTTTTCATTCAACAGCTGTTAAATAAGCCTAGATTGATGCAACTGTGAACCTAGTTAAATATAGCTTTTTTTTTTTTTTAATGGAGTACTTCCTACATTCAATTAAAAATACAGTAGTTTAGTTGTAGGCTGCTCTTCCCCCTTCCCCCTAAATGGAGATATGTTCACTGTTACTTGGCTTGGGGGTGCCAGTTAAGGGGAGAGCATGGATCCTGCAGCCTTCTGCTTGGTATCTCGAGGAAGTAAAGGCAGATCTTCGCTGGCAAGAAAAAGAGAATCGATAAAACTTTTGTTTAAAAACAGAGAATGGGAGAGAGATCTTCATAGTTTTATTGCGCCCTTCCATCCTCCGGCATTTTGCAAATAGTAAGAACAGTGGGTAGGAACGGGGCGGCGGCAGGGAAAGCAGCCTTTTAGGCAAGGAGCGCTCTGTTCTCCGCACCGGGGGAGACTTGCAGCCAAGGGTGGCTCTCAGTCAATAGACCAATCAGAAAAAGCATTACAAATGCCCTTCTGCCAAGGGAAGAAAATGAGTGCGGCTTTTTTCCGGTAACGGCGACTCCCGACAGAGAAGGCCGGAAATTGCTCTGTCAGGGGCCCGGGGGTTGCTCCAGCGCGTGCTGTTCACTGCTTGACCACTGCTTGCTAAGATCGTGTTTCACTTTCGGGCAAGTAAGTGGCTTTCGCTTTCCAACGTAAATAATAATTAGGTTGTGTACCAGAGCGTTCTGTTTCAGGAAATCCTCCTCTTGCTGTGCCGTGCCTTCCTGTAGAGGAAAAACACGCCAGGTCTACCCCCGCCTCACCCAGCCGGCCTCCATTTCTGCCCGCGCGCTCTGGGGCCGGCCCTGGAGGAAGGAGCGGGGCCGTCCTCCTTCCTCTCTGCCTGCGTTTGGGGTGGTTTTCTTTGGCTTGGGTTCCCCCGAGTGTATGCCCGGGGAAAAAAGGAGAGCTGCTGCTGCTTCTCTGCTCACAGGGGGAGAGCATAGCTATTGCATTCCGGAAATAATAGTTTTTAATTGGACACGTGATGACCGAGCCTGGGAAAGTGAGAGAGGTGGAAAAAGAGTCGGTAAAGCCAACCGTCTCGGGGTTAACCAAGGAGAGCCAGTTCCCTTACAGCTTCCTGAAAAAAAGTAATAACCAGATCAGTAGCAGAAATTAAAGTCCTTCTGATGGGCATTTTATTTGCTTAATTTCTTAGATTGCTTCCTTGCTTTTCCTGCAGGAGCTCAAGCTAGCGTGGGAATGACTTGCTTCCAGTTTTGTCTCCACAACACACAACTCTGTAGGGCAGGTTGCACTGAGAGTGACTGGGCGCAAAACCACACAATGGGTTTCCAAGGCTGAGAATCTGCTTGATCTGGGGTCTCCCCAAGTCTGGTTCTCCCTTTCACCACTAGACTACGCCTGCTCTTCAAGGCAGCATCTAAGAATGATCTATCCTAGTGTTCCTCAACCCTGATAGCTTTCAGATGTGTGGACTTCAACTCCCAGAATTCCCCAGCCAGCCTTGCTGGCTGGGGA